TCAGGGAAACGTGTAACGGGAATTAAAAACATGTAACGGGAATTAAAATGCCAGCGCAGAGGGAGAACGGGCGATGGAGCAAACGGACGAGGGACCAGGAGGAATGCCAAGGCTCCCGCCGCTGCCCGGGGCTTGCTTTGCCGCAGATAACCAGCAGTACCAGGCTGGGGGTGGGGGAATCAGGGATATTTCCAAAGCAAATCCCAGTGGGGACTAAACAGCGAGGAGAGCAAATCCTTTGAGCCCCCGGGGCGGGGAGAGCAACCCCTCGGCTGCTTCTTCCACCTGCAAGGAGACCCCGAGCCCTCCCACTTCTCCGGCTTACTCCGTTCCAGCCAAGGATAAATTTCGGCTTGTATGGCTGGAGGAGCCGGGCCACCCCCAGGAGAGGGGCTGAAGGCACCTTACCTACAGCGGTTGTGACACCGGCGGGCGCTCCTCCTGCACCAGACGCAGAGACCCGGGGACAAACCAGTCATCGGATGGCTGGGGAGCAGAGCCGGCCACCAGCTCCGGCCACGTCTGAGCAGGTACGGGAGCGTCGGGGGATGACGAGAGCGGGCGCACACCGATGAGCTCCTCCAGCACCCACCCAGCGCCTGGAGGCTTTTCACCGGAAAAACCTGAAGACTTTGTGCAACAGCAAAACAGACCCATAAATCACCCAGGGAGAACCTCCTCCTGCCAGTCTAAACCGCCGGATCCTCTTCTCAGGTCCAGACTTGGGCGTTTCTTTTGTTGTTTTCCCCTCCAAGTTTGCAGTTGGCAATGCAAGAATTAAAATCCCCACTTTGCCAGGGACTAGGGATGGGCCGGAAAAAAATGCTCTCCGGCTCCAAAAAAGGAGGAAAAGCAAGGCCACTGAGTAAGGAAGCAGGGAAGCACGTGTCCCTTCGGCGGGCAGAAAAGCGCAGCCGAGCGCGGCAGGGGGCTCAGTGCTCTCCCCTAGAAGGGATGTGCGACGTCCCCCAGCGCCCACGGGACTTTGGGGAGGAGGGGGGTGACCCAGATGGGGAAAATGAAGTATAATCTCATGCCTGTTCTGGACATGCAGGAGGCGTTTGTGTGGCAGCCTTCCCCCGCCACGGCTGGGAGCAGGGAGGCAAGGGAAGGCAACAGAGGGCAAAATTACCTCCTCGGATTAGGGACGTCCTGCTGGGAATGACGGCGGTGACAAAGCCCCACGGGATGCTTGGGTGGGAAACCCAGGTCCCGGCAAGGCTGTGCCCCATCAGCCGG